CGACATCACGGATCCGGTCGAGTTTCTCAACCGTTGTCGTGTTCCCTTCCATTATAAGATGTTTGAAGCACGGACTGCAGTGTTATCACGAGGGGATGACATTTTGGAATTTTTCCTTTCTCGTATCGCACATCCTATAAATTCCATATTCGACGAGTTTTCCGAGAGAGATTCCGGAAAATCTTTGGCCTCTATCGTCGCTCTTCATGTTTCGGCTCACTTGTTCAAACCTATCGTACATTCTGCCTCTTCTTTTCTTCCTCTTCCACTTACCATTGCGAGACGTCGTGCTGTGATCAACGTGCAAAATCGAGACGAGAAATGTTTCCTGTGGGCGATGGCTTCGGCTCGCCCACAGTCTCGATTTGCGCGGCATCTCCTGGCCCCTGCCTGTTCAAGAGATAAAACGTTTCGAACGTCAAAATTCTAGCTTTTCCTTTAACGTTTTCACATTAGAGTTTGATTCGGCAAAAAAATCTTGGAAAATCGTTGGTCCTGTACACTTTGCGGGTACGAAGAAAGAGAACCATTTCAATTTCTTGTTAATTCATGGCGACGGTGGACGGTCCCATTACGTTTGGATTAAAAATTTAGGTAGACTGATTCAGTCTTTAACATTCGGGTCACAAAGGTAGGATTTTCGTTTGCGACAGATGTTTGAATGCATTTCACTCGCAAACGCATCTCGAGGCTCACGAAATCGATTGTAGATCCGTGGGGTCGCCCGCACGTTTGATCCTTCCGTCGGAGACGAACAATGAAGAGCGCTTCATGCAATTTCGACACTTCGAAAGACAACAACGATGCCCGATCGCGGTTTACGTTGATTTCGAAGCACTCGCGCTTCCCGTGTCTTCGTGTGAGCTGTCTTTGAATGGATCCTTCTTTCAACCGTACCAACTTCACAAACCCTTTTCGGCGGCGCTTCAAGTGGTGTGCTCGTTTGATGAGTCGCGGAGTCAGCTAGCCATCTTTCACGGTCCCAACGTCGCGATACATTTATTAGCGTTCCTAGAAGGTCTCGCGAAAGATTACGAACAACCTTTGAGTTGTCCTGCACCCCTCGTGATGAGCGACGAGGACGAGGAGTCTTTTCAAAATTCCGACGTATGTCACATATGCAAAGGACCTTTTCTTCCAAATTCCGTTCGCGTCAGGGACCACGATCATTTTTCGGGTGTCTTTCGCGGCGCGGCTCATCAAGCGTGTAACGTCAATTTTCCCGCACCGAAATTCATCCCCGTCGTCATGCACAACGGGAGCGGTTACGATTGGCATTTTCTCCTTCAGGCCTGGGGCGAAAAGAACTGTACGAATAACGACGGGCTGCGCGCGGTTCCGCACAATCACGAGAGATTCGTGGCGATTTCCCAGAAAATCGAGAAAGTGGAACTACGCTTTTTAGACTCTTTGAAATTTTTAGGTGCATCGCTCGACTTTTTAAGTCGATCGCTCGATTCAGCCGATTTGACATTCACCCGTGCGGCTTTTCCCGACGATCGTCTTTTCGCATTGGCCAGAAGGAAGGGGGTGTTTCCCTACGATTATGTCAACATGTCCAAATTGGGCGAAACGAGGTT